CGAAGGAACGAGCAGCAGAGGGGGATGGTGCGGTGGGAATGGAGGTGGAAGGGGGAGAGGCGAGGCTGCTAGGCGATGGACAAGAACGGGTTGACGGAGCCAATGGGGTCAATGCAGTCAATGCTGTGACAGAAGCGCAGCAGTTGCATGATATGCGCACCGGCCCACCCAGTGCCAACGATGCAATAAGTGCTGATCCTGCTGCTGCTGCTGCTGATGGTGGTGGTGCTGGCGGCGCTGGTGCTGCTGCTGCTGGTGGTGGTGGTGCTGCTGCTGAGTCACATAAGGGAGAAGCGGCTGGAGAGGCAGCAAGCGATGCATTGGAACAACGGGGTGCGGGTGACGCCTTGCAGAGGTTGCAGTCGGAAGGGGGTGGTGGGGGAGAAGGAGAAGCAGGAGCGGCAGGCGGAGGAGCGAGAGGAGGGGAGGGAGGTGCAGGCAGCAAGGAGGCAGGAACCGCCGCTTCAACTGGCCCCGCGTCTGTATCAGCTGCTGCTGGCGCGAGCTCAGCATCAGCAGCAGCCGCCGCAGTCGCAGCAGCTGCAGCAGGAAGAGGAGGAGCAGGAGGAGCGTCCGCAAATGGCAACGCAAACGCATCAGCATCGCAATCAGCATCAACCCCATCAGGACTGCCAGCCCAGCCAGCCTTCTCCTCAATGCCTCGCTCCCAGTCGTCCCCTGCGCCCACCACGCCCTCTCGCCCACACTCCGCCCTTCACTCCGCTGCCCATTCCGACCAACACCTCCTGGCGCACAACCACCAGGCGCTCCTCACAGCCATGCGCGGAGGCGCCAGCAGCCTAGGGGGGGACGTGCCCCGCGCCATAGGAGGGGGCATGGCCAGCAGCATGCGGGGCAATGTGCCCCGTGGGGTAGGAGTGGGGGGGGAGATGCCCCTTGGGAACGTACCTATGGGCGGGGGGGATGTGGAGGAGCTCTTCATGATGTCCCATATGATGTCTGCCTGGCCAGGATTCTCTGGATTTGATCTGCCAGAGGATGTCAAGCCGGGTACGCTGCCCCTCCCTGCGAATCTTCCTGGTAATCCGCATGCCAATCTCCCAGCCGGCCTCTCTGCAACTCTCCCTGCGGGGCTGTCTGCGACGCCGCCGCTGCAGTACCTGCCGCAGTTTGCTGCTGCTGCTGCCGCGGGTGGTTTGGCTGGTTCTGCGGACACTGCTGCGTCTGGCTATTCCAGTCAGTTCTCTGCTGCTGCAAGGGCTGCTGCTGCCGCTGCTGGAACAACCGCTGGCGCCACTACTGCTGCTGCTACAACCGCGGGTGCTACAGCTGCTGGGGCTACAGCAAGTGGTGCGACAGCAGCTAGTGCTACATCCATGGCAGCAAGTGCTGGGCGTGTAGCAGGCGAAGGCACGGCTGTTGATGCCTCAGGCTCTGTTGCTGGGAACGCTGCTGCTGCTGCTGGTGCATGGCCTATGAAAGGCACAGCTGGCCTGAGTGGTCTAGGCAGGATGACTGAGTTGACTGAGTTGACCGATTCGACCGGGCTGAATGCTATGGCTGGGTTGAACGCCTTTGGTGCCTGGCCTGGTATGGCAGGCATGGCCGGAGCAGCTGTGGTCTCGGCAGGAGGCGTGGTATCCGAGGCAGGAGCCGAGGCAGCAGGTTCGGCAGCGAGGTCATCGAGTGGGTTGGGGGCAGGAACGGGTGGTGGAGCTGCAGGGAAGAGAGTGGGTGCGAGCACAGATGCAGAGGTGCTGGCGCTGACAGCTGCTGTAGCAGCGCGAGCAGCAGGGACAGGCACGAGCGGTGGTGCTAATGCTGCTAGTGGCATCAGTGCTGGTGGCGGTGTTGCTGCTGGGAATGGTGCTGGTGGTGCTGCTGGTGGTGGTGGTGGTGCTGGTGGGGTGAGCAATGGAGCGGGTCAAGCTGCCATGTGGGCTGGTAGGATGGCAGGGGGGGGTGGCATGGCTGTTGGCATGGCTGGTGGCAGCATGGGAGGCGGAGGCATGGCACCTGTGATGAGAGGCTTGCCTGGAGGAGGTGTTATGTTGCGGCCAGGTGGCATGGTGATGATGGGGGGTCATGAACCGGGGCAAGGCATGGCTGGTGGTATGGGCGGTGGCATGTTGGGTGCAGGCGTGGGAGGGACAGGCATGGGGGGTATGGGAATGGTAGCAGGAATGGGAGGTAACATAGCTACTGCAGGCTTGGGAGTGCATGCGCGACCAGGTATGGGTCTAGGTCCGGGATCTGCAGGCGTGGGTCTACGCCCGGGAGCTGCAGGTGTGGTGATGGGGGCTACAGTTACAGGCATGGGTGCTGCAGCGATGGCGGCAACTGGTGTGAGAGGAGGTGCAAGCGCAGGTGCCATGGGTGTGGGTGCCGCCCTTCCTGGCATGGCTATGCCTTTGGGCATGGGTATGGGGATGGGGATGGGTATGGATCCAAGCATGGGTGTGAACATGATGGGTCCTGGTATGGGCATGGGCATGAACATTGGTGGGATGCCTATGGGCTTTGGAGACATGGGCATGGGCATGAGACCAGGGATGGGGGTGACTGGCATGAGTGGAGGAGGCATGGGAATGGGTGGTGTAGGGTCGGGTGGCATGGGGATGCATGGCATGGGTGGTGCCGGTGCAGGTATGGGGAACTACAGTGCTAGTGCAATGGACATGGAAGGCATGATAGATCTTCCTATGCCTATGGGCATGAGTGGGGCTTCTTCCGAGCCATTTTATGTGCCAGGAATGCTGCCTGGAATGTTTAAGTTTCCGGGGTCGTCTGGTGGTGTGATTCAAGGTGCAGGATCTGGTGGCGCTGGTGTGCCGCCTGTTCAGTTTGGAGGTCTTACAAATGGAATTGCGTGAAGAAGATGACATTCCGTGCTGCTGATGATTTTGGCTTATACAGGTCTCTGCTGGATTTGAGTTGTGTTCTGCAGCTGTATAATGATGTGTGTCTGCTCAGAAATTATACACCCAACTATATAACATGCTTTACAGCGGTCCAGGTTGTTCTGCTACCACTTTCATGTTGCGGCAGGTTGGTGTTTTCATACCGCCGCCAATGTGCTCGTCAGGTGTTTTCGCAGCTGGCGAGTGGCCGTGTTCTGTGGGCAGGGTACTGTACACATGTCAAACACCAACTGCCCGCAAACCCTCTATGGAGATGGCGCACAACCCCGCTGGCGCAAGAGTCGAGATCTGATTGAGCAACCAGGAACGAAGGTGGTGTGGTGTAGCATCAGCATGACGTGTACCCAGGTTTAGAACACGTGTTTTCCCCACGCTGTTCCACCAGCTCCAGCTCTTGTGCCGGGCCACAAGCCATTGTGCACTTTTTATTCAAAATAAGATTATCGGAAGAATAAAATTAGTCTAGCTTATGTCAGAACAATGTAGACAGCCACTTCGTGCTACCCGCGGAAATGCAAACGTTGATGTGGATAAACCTTCAATAGCACTCGTTATCATAGATGTTTTTCTTCAATAGTGAATGTATTCGAGCCCGTTCTCCTCGTTCACTTATTGCTGTATTTTAGGCGTGGAAAAGGTAAGCATTATTTTTTAGTGAGTGAAGCAGGCATCGTGTGTAAATTAGGTGGGCACAAGCGGCTCAAGCCGTACTGCACTGTAGCGGAGGAGATTCCCGCAAGGGCAGCCAGCCAGTAGGACGTCTCACAGTTCAGATTTCCCTCCACATCCACAAATGGAATGCCACGCTGCATCATTCGACATGGTCTCATATCGTTTCTTGTATACCTCGTGACAAATGATTGTGCCCGTCGGTGAGTTTGTTTTCCCGCGCTGCGTCTGAATGTTACGGCCCCTGAAACCAATCGGAAACTCGCGTCTCATGGGGTCTCCTCCATACACCCAGCTCTTCGTTTATCTCACCAAGCGCGTTTCGGTCGGAGATGCTTGTCCTTTTCGCCCGGTGCTTTTAACGTCTGCGAGTCACATTTCCCTGCGTATTGCCATCCCTTGCTCCCAAAATGTGGCTATTAATACGTTTTTGCAACTGCAGGCCGGCCTGACCGAATCATGACTAATAAATTTGGCCTCGTTTTTAGCGCGAATGCGTGTAACTGTAGTGTTCTGCCACCAATTTTCTTCGACGTTTAGCAATTCAATGCTGAACTGATCACGCGTGTGAATCGATTCTATGTGACATCAATGCATCGCTCCCAACCTTCTATGTGAACGTACCAAGCCCGTAAAACTATCACGGGTGCATCAAAAGAATAATTGGGTGTATCATACCGGTGCTGCTTCTTCGCCGCTATGTTTGCTTTCCGTCTTCCCCCATCCCGAACCGAACCTTCCCCACTCGAGATTGCGCGGTCCCACAACAAGCGGGCGAGCCAGAGCAAGGGCTGTCAAGTACATACAGACTGTACCTCCACCAGCGCGCGGAGTCTGACAAGCGCGGGCTGGGGGAACCAGCAGCAGCTTTCGTCTCCCCGCGTTATTCCGGGGAAACGCCAGCTGCAACTCCGCATCCGCCGCTGACGGGGAGAAAGTTCCTCGCCCCGCTTCCTTTGGGTTCTCCCCTCCTCACCTCGGTTTCTCCGCGTAATTCGTTCGACGCGCGACTCTCCCCCTCGCCTCGAATCGAAGTCACTCCACTATGCAGCTCGGGAGCTCACGTTCATAACCTAGGATTTGGAATGTGCCTCCTGGTCCCAGCTTTTTAGCCGCAGTGCATTAGTTGATTCCTATCCGTAATCCCACAGCAAGCGTGCTTTGCTCATCACTCCTACGTTATTAGTTTGAACGCTGTCTTTTCGGCTCGGCGAGCACACACATGCGATTGCTCCTCCTATTCTGAAGTGCTCTCGTTGAGCACACATGAAGCTGCTAACGTACTTGCTGACTTGTACTGACACATAGTTGCAGACACGCAGTAGCTGATACGAGCTACGCGAGGGAAGTGGAGCTCCAAAGCCCCCTCGCCCTGCTTACCCTATTCCACTCTCCGTACTCCCGTCGCCACTACGCCGCAGCAATAGGTTCCACTAGGTTTTGGCCAGCATGAGTGCGCGACGCAGTCGGTTGTTATCGTGCCTCGCTGTAATCACATGGTGCGCGACGTTGCATCTCCGTGCGCTGCCAGCCTCGGCGGCGATCGTCGTCGTAACTCCCAAGAACGCCTCTTACGTCATCAATGACGTCGACGCCAACTTTGGTACGCCCCTCCGTTTCATCTCAGCCGTTGAGTTCGTCGCATTCACCATTCGCGCTCTTATCCGGCGCGCACTCACCACTTGCGCACGCACCCTCCGCGCCCTCACCCGCCGCGCACTCACCGCATCAAACGCAGCACGCCTTGCACCTCACCGGGATTGCGCCTCACAATCCGCGCGCTTCACCCGCTTCTCCCCGCTGCGTACGCTAAATTCAACAAGCACTCGCAGCTCAGCGCTGTGCGCCATGCTGCCTTGCTGCGCATCTGCGCGCCGAGCCTTTTGGTAACGCAACTGGTAACGCAGCTGCGCGCCGAGCTGTGATACGGCTGCCACAGCTGCATCGGCGCGGGTACATATCTCCAATCTCCCCCCCACCGCCCCTTCCCCCTCTCCCCCCGATGCATCTCCCCCCTTCCCCGCTCTCTTCCCCCCCGCCGTCCCCAGGCGGTATCATCCCCTCGAGCGGCATTCGCGGCGTTTTGCGCCGAGCGGAGCCGCTCGACGCGTGTCAGCCGCTCGCGTCCCGCGCAAAGCGCGCCGAGCGGGCCTTCGCGCTGATCACACGTGGCAACTGCCTATTCGACACCAAAGTTCTGAACGCGCAAGTGGCGGGGTACGCGGCCGCGATAGTGTTCAATAACGAGGACAACGACGAGCTTATATCGAGTGAGTGAACCACAATAACGAGACATGTTATCCCTTCTCCTACCTTCCGCTCACCCCACCCCGCGCGCAACGCCCGCGTGTGCACTCCCTTCCCAGACACACACGCGCCTGATTCCGCCTGAGTGGAGTTGCCTGATTCCGCCTGAGTGGAGTTGCCTGATTCCGCCTGAGTGGAGTTGCCTGATTCCGCCTGAGTGGAGTTGCCTGATTCCGCCTGAGTGGAGTTGCCTGATTTCGCCTGAGTGGAGTTGCCTGATTCCGCCCGCTTCCCTATCCAAGGAATGCATGGATAGGGAGCACTGCTATCACAACCCTGGCACGATAGTTGCCTGAATGGATAGGGAGCACTGCTATCACAACCCTGGCACGATAGTTGCCTGAATGGATAGGGAGCAGGATAGTTGCCTATCACAATCGCCTTTCAGCCAACCCTGCTCCCAATCCATACATTCCTTGCCTTCCCCCCGCCCCCCTCCCCTGAACCCACTGCCTTCCCAAGCCCACGTCCGCGCGCAACGTGCGGCGCGTGGTGATTGCGCTGTCCGCACCTCTCACGCGGAAGTGCCGGCGGACTTGCGGTCCTTGTTGCTGCGCCTTGAATATACCCCGCAAGTTTTGTTCCTCATTCCCCTTCTTCCTCCCCCGCCCCCCGTCCTCCCCGCACCCGCCCGCTCCCCGCTAGGTCCGTGCGGAACGTGTGGGACGTGGTAGTCCCCGCGGTCTACATCTCCCACGTGGATGGCCACTTGCTGCTCTCACTCCTCTCGCTCCTCTTACTCACCCACCCTTCTCTCCCCATATTCCCCGCCCCCCGTTCTCCCCCCCGGCCTGCGCAGTGTCCGCGCGCAACGTGTGGGACGTGGCGATCCCCGCCGTCTACATCTCCCACGCGGACGGCCATTTGCTGCTCTCGCTCCTCGCCGCGCAACCCGCCTCGCTCCTCATCCTCCTCCCCACCCTCTCCGGCTCGCTCCTCCCGCTGCTCGCTGCGGCGCTCCTCGCGCTGCTCACGCTCTCCGTCTTCCTCTCCGCGTTTCTGATTATCGTGCGCCAGCAGCGGATACGGCGCGCGCTTGAGGAGGCGCGGAGGGGGGGCGCGTGGGGGGTCGCGGGGGCGGAAGCGGAAGCCGCCGGGGGGATGGGGGAGGAGGGGCTGGTGGTGATGCGCGCGCTGCTGCTTCCGCCGCCGCCCGAGAAGCGCATCGGTTTATCAGCTGCGGAGCTGAAAGCGCTTCCGGAAATAACGTTCTCGCCTTCTATGGAAGATCTCGCGGAAGCTTGTAAAGGGGATAATGGAGTGGAGGAAGGGGAGGATGGGGATGAGTCGCTGGGAGATGTGGAGGAGCAGGGAAGAAGTGAGCAGGGAGAGGAGGGAAAGGAGGAGGGAAAGGAGGCGGGGAAGGCGGCGGGGAGAAGGAGGAGGAGGGGGTGGAGCAGGGCGCTAGAGACATGCGCCATCTGCCTGGACGATTACCAATCGGGCGACCGCCTGAGAGTGCTGCCCTGCGGGCATGGTGCGCTTGCCTTGCCCTTCCCCTCAACCCATCCCCACCCCCGCCTTCCCCAGCCCCCTCTTCCCAAACCGCTTATTCCAGCCCCTCTTTCCTATGCGTTAGGGTGCCTAAGCCTCACCATGCCTTTCACCTCTCCCCTCCTCTCCCCTCCCCTCCCTTCCCCTCCCCTCCCTTCCCCTCCCCTCCCCTCCCCTCCCCTCCCCTCCCCTCCCCTCCCCTCTCTTCCCCACTCCTCCCCCCTTTAAACCATGACTATTCCGCACTCTCACTCTCCCGTGTCATTGATATTCTTCCCCATCCCCCACCGCACCCTCCCTCCCCAACCTCCTCTCGCCGCACTCAGAGTCCCATGTTGAGGGGACCAGCAAATGGCCCGACCCCAATCCTCTCCCTCCCCTCTCGCCTATCCCTTCTCCCCTCGCCCCTCTCCCCTATCCGCTATCCCTTCTCCCCTCTCCCCTCTCCCCTTCTCCCCCTCCCCCCACTTCCCTCTCCCCTCTGTCCGCCACTCAACACTTGCAGAGTTCCCTGCTGACTGTTCACCTGTGCGTGTCCTTCCCTTGTTCCCCTTTTCCTCTCGACTCCCTTGCTCCCCCTTGTTCCGCAGAGTTCCATGCGGAGTGTGTGGACGAGTGGTTGACCACCAAGCAGCCCCTCTGCCCCATCTGCAAGGGTGACGCACACGCACCCTCCACATCCCCTCCTCCCATGTGCACCATCAGCAGCAACACCAGCAGCAGCGGTAGCAGCACTGCTGGCACCAACATTGCCGCAGGTACCTCTGTTCCCACACCTCCTTCGCCGAGCCAACTCCACTCCTCATCCTCCTCCCCACCCTCCTCCTCCTCATCCTCCTCCCCCTCTTCCTCAAGATCAGTGACCTCCTCTCCCTCCTCTCATCCCTCCTCCCCTCACCCACAATACCACCCATCCCCTTCGTCATTGCTTCTCACCTCTTTGCTTCCCAACCTACCTTGGATAAGGCACCCTGCCAGCTCCCGAGCCTCCTTGCATGCTCTGGCCGTACCTAGCCCGTCTGCTGCCGAGCCTGGAGCTAGTGACATCCGGCGGCCATTCCTCCTGCCTCCTGGCCCGGCAGGTTCTCCTACCTCTCCCTCCTCTTCAGCTGCTGAATCAGCACCCATGCATGCTGAGCTGTCACACCAAACGGATTTGACGAGCATCGGATGATGGTGCATCTCACACCATCTCACACCAACCAGAGCCATCCCTGTAACCACCTTTGCATGCATCCGGCGATATGCTGCTGACTGCAGCCAGCCAGAGAGTGACATTCAGCAAAAGCATTTAACAAGGCACCCAGTTACTGAGCCTTGTGAGAAATTCAGCCACTGACCTGTTGGCTGCCTGTAGCTCTGACGTTATGAGATGTATTTCACTCCGGTACAATAGATTACCTGGCAAGTGTACGGTATGCAAGAATGAAACAAAAACCCCCTCAAAACCAGTTCCATATGATGTTGATGCTGCTGCGTTCTGGTCAGAAAGACGTGGGTGGGTGGGTTATCCGTGCTGGTTATGGGTTGTTTTGCTTCCCTTTGCTAGCTCCCGCTTCGCTTGAAAAGCTCCATGTTTTGGACGGAGTGTCTTGATTTCAACCACCTCGAGGCGCCTCAGAAGTTGCTCGGCTTGCGTTCACAATCTAGATACTTATCAGGTTACATGGAGATCTAGAAGGCTCTAACAAACATAAACTTCTATGATTGTGCTACGGGTTTATTACGGTTAGCCTGAGTTAGCCCGTTCTGCGAGTCAACTCTAGAAGTTGTGCATGTCGGCACTGACTGACACACATTCAACCAACCTGCTCCCCTTCAACACCAACTGGCCGAACTTGACAGCTGCCTGTTACTAGTGGTGTAGCGTATCTACTTTGCCTACTACCAGCTACTACACTAACTACTCTAACTATTCAAACTCTGTTACACCCTAAGAGCCACACTTCTTAGAAGATGATTACCACCGGCGCCCCTTGCCCATCCGTCTCTTCCCCACCTGAGTCTTCTCCAACCCCATCTTCCACACCTGCCTCTTCCCCACCCGCCTCTTCCCCACCCGCCTCTTCCCCACCAGCCTCTTCCCCACCCACCTCTTCCCCACCCGCCTCTTCCCCACCCGCCTCTTCCCCACCCACCTCTTCCCCACCCACCTCTTCCCCACCCCCCTGTTGATCCTCCCCCTGTTGCCCCTCCGTCTCTTGCCCCTGTGCCTCTTGCCCCTGCGCCTCTTGCCCCTCCCCCTCCGCCTCTTGCCCCTCCGCCCCTTGCCCCTGCTCCCCTTGCCCCTGCTCCTCTTGCCCCTGCTCCCCTTGCCCCTGCTCCTCTTGCCCCTGCGCCTCTTGCCCCTGCTCCCCTTGCACCTGCTCCTCTTGCCCCTGCTCCCCTTGCCCCTCTGTCTCTTGCCCCTCCAGCTCTTGCCCCTGCTCCCCTTGCTCCTGCTCCCCTTGCCCCTGCTCCCCTTGCCCCTGCTCCTCTTGCCCCTGCTCCTCTTGCCCCTGCTCCCCTTGCCCCTGCTCCTCTTGCCCCTGCTCCTCTTGCCCCTGCGCCTCTTGCCCCTGCGCCTCTTGCCCCTCCGCCTCTTGCCCCTGCTCCTCTTGCCCCTGCGCCTCTTGCCCCTGCGCCTCTTGCCCCTGCGCCTCTTGCCCCTGCTCCTCTTGCCCCTCCGCCTGCTGCTCCTGCAACTGCCGCTGCAACTGGCGCCTGTGGGGCTGCTGGTGTTGCCCATACTGGAGTCGCCTCCTCAGCACATCCCGCTGGAACACAGGAAGAGCCTCCCCCAAACCCCTCTCTTTGCTGCCTCCACCGCCGCCGCCACCGCCGCCGTTGCCGCCGCCGCTGCTGCTTGCTGCGTTCAGGCCGTCGTTCAGGCCGTTGATCGCGTTGAACGTGTCCACGTGGGCGTCCATCAGCCGTTCGTATTCGCCCTGCTCGGCGCGCTGCAGAATGACCGTCAGCTCCGCGACGATGTCGACGCTGCTGGGAAGGTTCGTCTGGTCGGGCGAGTCAACGGCGATGTCCTTGTAGACGTAGTGGTTGTTGACTCCGTTGACTACTGACCGAAGATCTTCCACGTCACTCTCTCTGCTCAAGTCAAAGCGAGTCATTTCGCAAAAACAGAAAAGATTGCTAAAGGATTTGGTAAATGGTTTCCAGAAGGTCACAGCCTCTCGTTGACGCGGCACGTTACCTGATCTTCAGGTTTCGCAAGCATTCGCGAACTGTAGAGGGCTTCGCAACGTCCCAGCTCGCTGCATTCGTGGCAATATCCTGACTCCACAGCGCGCACGGGTCCGCTGCACCGCTCTGCACCACGCTCGCTGCCTCTGGACCGCTCGTTCCCGATCCAACGGTAACATCAGCGGCTCCCGCTAGAGAAGCTTCGCTATCAGCACTGAGAGAGGCTGCTATGGAATCGTCTACGAGAAGTCGACCGGCGAAGGCAGGCTGGAAATGAATCATGGAGAGAACGACGGCAAGCAGGCCCACCCGCACGAGGCATCCCCGTAAACCCATGGCTTGGGCCGCAACAAGGGACGACTCTACCGGGTAGGATAGGAGGGGCTTCTGACATGGCTGAAGTTGTGAGGTGGCGAGTGAATCAGCTCACTCGCCTTTGCACCCCCGGTGTGCAACAACAAAACTGCTGCTGCTATTTCTCACTCGCCTTTGCACCCCCGGCACTAGCTGTTTTGTTTATATACTCCACGATTATTCCAAGCACTGCTTGCGAGCTCGCGTCGCCAGGGAGGCGTTGCTGGCAGAGCGAGCATGTTGTTAGAACCAACGTTTCACTCACGCGCTCCGACGCTGAATACGAGCCGCACTCCTCAAGGCGGTCGATTCGAACAGCGCATTTGGATAAGGGCGAAATTTTTAATATAGGGAACATCAGAAGGACCGATCGTGCGAAACAGTCGCGCATGCACCCGACCTGACGTTGATTCCCGATCCGATTGTACCAGGCACGACCGATCCTGCCTTCGCGATGCGGAGATGAGCGGCATGAGACGGTCCTTTTGCCCCAGGCAAAAGACTGTGGGCGGAGTGGGATGTCTGTGAACTAACTGTAACAGTAGATGCGATAAGAGCACACGTGCACAACGGAGTGCAGGAGGAAAGCGATCCGTGCATCCTACAGCGAGGCCTGCCCGACAGATCAGCCAATGGACAGCGAGCTGACGGCAAGCGAGATCTGGGTTGGGGAGGGAGGCGAAGTGAACGAGAGGAGCAGCTGTTTCTGTCCGCGAGTTGTGTCGTGACCCACCTAGCTGTCGCGATGGATGGGAGGGCACGGCAGGAGCAGGGCGATGTGCTTTTGGGGCACCCACCCACCCACCCTACCAAAGGCGCACGTGTATCGAGGTCCTGACCCACGGATCAAGCTCTGACAAAAGGGACATAACAATCTCGTGAGTGCAGTGCAAAGTTGGGGTACGGTGCAGAGCCAAAGTACACTATTTCACTTGGTGTTTAACCAATGTATGACAAAACATGGGCTGTCCAGCTTGTAGAGCGGATAGCTGCATAACGAAGTATTTCAAGGCGTCCAGGGAAAATCGCAGGGAACACCATGCCGTGCCAAATAGGCAGCTCGTTATTGCGTAGTGCTAAACGCGCTAATAAGGAGCTCTTTATTGCGTAATGCTAAACTAGCTAACATCCACAGAAAGTGCTCGTTATTGCGTAGTGCTAAACGCGCTAATAAGGAGCTCTTTATTGCGTAATGCTAAACTAGCTAACATCCACAGAAAGTGCTCGTTATTCGCTAAGGTAATGCTAGGATGGTTCTGGTGGCAACTCCTCTTGATTCGCCAAACCGATTCGCGTGACTGACGGTGCAGTTGCGGAAGAGTTACACTGCAGCCTGCGACTGAGCGATCACCGGTGGCAGCGGCAATTCCGGGAAGAGTTTCGCGACGTCGCTCCAAATCACCTCGGGCTTGTCGATGCGATCTACGGTGTAGTCCACGTGGTGCTGACTGGGCAGAAATTCGAACTCGCACGGAACGCCGGAGTCCACGTACCCGTTAGTAAACGCCATGGAAACATCCATGTTCGTTTTAAACGGTTTCGACGCGTGCGGGTCGTTGGCGTGGTTCGTGCGGCTTAGCGGAACCGAGACGGCGCAGTTTAACGAGAGCATGGTGTAGCCCAGGCACGACGCGCTCACGGACACGGGCTGGTCGAGGTAACCACCCACGGTTACCATGGGTACTTTGTAGCGTTTACCCAGCATGTGCGTGAGGACGGCGCAGGTGGAGAAGCAGTCCCCGTCCGCGAGAAACAGAAACGGCCGCGCGCCGAAAAACGGCTCCGAAAACTCGGGCCGCGCCGCCAAGTCGCCGTAGAAATAATCGAAATTCAGTTTAAAATCCGCGGTATAGGTGCCGATGCGGCCGGCGACGGAGAAGGGGACGTTTTGCAGAGGAGTGTAGTCTTCAGCAGACGAGAGGAGCGACGTGCCGTCGCTGGGCTGAGTGTACGCGTTCGTGACGTAGCCAGGAATGGCCTGATCCTCCATGAGGCTCCAGGTGAAGTTGGTGCCTATAATGAAGTCCATGGGTAGGGTTGCTTCCGCTAGAGGCACGTTGCGCGTGCCGAGAAGTGCGACGACTGTGTGTGAGGCCAGTGTGACGTACCCGCCGCCGTTATCGCGCACGTCGAATATGACCTCCGCGCAGTCGGTGCTGCGCGCGGGGGGGGCGGGGGAAAGGTTCAGAATTGGTTTTCAGTAAAATTTCAGAAGGGAGAAGTTGGGAGATGAATGTCCAAAATGCTGAGAGAGAGAAGGGTTTTTCAGTAAGGGAAAATTGGTGTGCAAGCATGGAGGGCAAGCAGGGAGGGCAAGCAGGGAAGGCGAGCAGGGAGGGCGAGCAGGGAGGGCGAGCAGGGAGGGCGAGCAGGGAGGGCGAGCAGGGAGGGTGAGCAGGGAGGGCGAGCAGGGAGGGCGAGGAGGGAGGGCGAGCAGGGAGGGCAAGCAGGGAGGGCAAGCAGGGAGGGCAAGCAGGGAGGGCAAGCAGGGAGGGCAAGCAGGGAGGGCAAGCAGGGAGGACTAGCAGGGAGGACTAGCAGGGAGGACTAGCAGGGAGGACTAGCAGGGAGGACTAGCAGGGAGGACTAGCAGGGAGGACTAGCAGGGAGGACTAGCAGGGGGCGAAGCGGAGAGGGCGCGCGTACCTCCTGGCAGTATCCATGGCTTTGAGAATCTCCTCAGCGAGGTAGTTGATGGGATTCACGTCAGGCCTGCTGACTGCGAGCTCCTCCTCCGTAGTGGGGTCCACGCTGAATGTGTGCAGCACTATCACTGCCGTGCGGTTGTCCACCAGATACACCTGAGAGGGGCGCAGAGGGGTGCAGAGAGGTGCAGAGGGATTCAGAGGGGTGTCCAGGGGTGCAGAGGGGTGCAGAAGGGTCCAGAGGGTTGCAAGCCAGGGCTGGTGACGGTCAGCTTACTCGCCGTGGTGCAGCAGATCACTGCTGTGCAGTTGTGCAACAGATACTCGTGAGAGTGGTGAAGTGCGGTTAAGGGGGGTTGAGGGGACTGCCAGGGGAGAGAGAGGAGAGCTGGGAGGTTGAATGCGGTTCTTGATAGCGTTTCAGCACGAACACTGATACCTGCATGCAGTCACACGCGCACACAGTCACACGCGCACACAGTCACACGCGCACACAGTCACACCCGCACACAGTCACACACGCATACAGTCACACGCGCATACTGTCACACGCGCATACCAGGTAGTAGGCATCGTCAGCAGACACCTTCTCCATTGTGATGGCTGCCCCCTCCTCTCCAGCCAGTATCCTGGGTGCAACCTTGTCGCTGCTCTGCGCATCGTTGCTTGACGACCCTGCTTCCTCCTTGCCTTCCTGCTTCTCCTGTGGCTGCTGCTGCTGGCGCCTGTGGGGCCGCTGGTGTTGCTGGTACTGGGGTCGCCTCCTCAGCACATCACGCTCAAACACAGGACACGGAGCCTGCTTCTCCTTGCTGCCGCTACCACTGCCACTGCTGCCGCTGCTGCTGTTGCGTGCCAGCATCAGCGTCGCCTGGACAGCGCTCGTTGTGCTTGGTGCAGTTGAGGGTCCAGTAGGAGTGCGAGTCGTTGAAGGGCTGTGGGTTCGAGACAGCCATCCATGGCACGCTCACGTTCTCCGCTGCCCCGCTGTTGCTCCCAGCCACAGAAACCACCCAGACAAAACAATAACAAAACAGTGACAACAGAAAATGCCAACAGAACAACAGGGCATGAGAATTCAGTGGTACCAACTAGGGTTAATGGAAGTACATTCTTGCCGTTTTGTGTGCATAAGGCTCACCCTGTGAAAACGGACACCTGCAGCGTATCGCTTTCTGGAACCAGCTCCCGCACAACAAACTCCCCCGCGTGATGGCTCAATTTGGCTTTTCCCTCCGGGTCGAGCCCGGCGAACATCATGTTGAAACGCGCACTGGGGTTGCGCACCATGCCGCCGTGCTTGTCCGCCCACTGCTTGATATACTCCACTGCCGGCTGGCCCTCTATGGCGAGCACCTGCAGAGAGGGGACGAGGGAGTTCTATGCCCTTGCTACTTTATAGACACTGGCCGATATTGCAAACCACGTGTATTGTGGCTTTTCTGCTATTTAATGTACCCGTTTAGCGACAGTAGCGTACCTGCTGTAACTCGTAGGCGGAAAAATCGAAACCCCAGAGCTTCTTCGCGTCCTCATCGATCCCGTTGAGCCGCTCCAGGTCTGAAGGGTATGGCGCGATGAAACACGGCCACAGGCAGCGTTACTTATACACTTTGAAACGAAGCGTAATTGGAAAACGAGTTCGCCTGAGCGTAATGTACGTGCGTGCGTACGTGTGAGAGGTTTTACAATCGCGCGGCAGAGAGACTCACATTGGCGCGTGGCGACGCGAACGATCTGCTGACCTTCCTCCACGACCGCGAAAAGCGGAAGCGGGAGGACGAAGGTAGCCACGCCGAAGAAGCAGTTGGACCAGAACATGGTGTGGCCGTCGTTCAGGCCGTTGAGCGCGTTGAATGTGTCCACGTGGGCGTCCATCAGCCGTTCGTATTCACCCTGCTCGGCGCGCTGCAGAATGGCCGTCAGCTCCGCGACGATGTCGACGCTGCTGGGAAGGTTCGTCTGGTCGGGCGAGTCAACGGCAGTGTCCTTGTAAACGTAGTGGTTGTTGACTCCATTGAACACGGACCGGAGATCTTCCACGTCGCTCTCCCTGCTCAAAGTCAAAGGGTTTTTTTTTTCAAAAACAGAAACGCTTGTTCAAATGAAGTCGTTTTTCCAGAAGGTCAATGCTACTGCATTTGCAATATCAAACGAGTCGTTACCTGATTTTGAAATTGCGCAAGCATTCGTGAACTGTAGAGGGTTTCGCAACGTTCCAGATCCCTGCATTCGTGGCGATTTCCTGACTCCACAGCGTGCACGGGTCCGCTTCACCGCTCTGGATCACGCTCGCTGCCTCTGGACCGCTTGTTCCGGATTCAGATGCAGTAGCAGCTGAAGCTCCCGCTAGAGAAGCTTCGCTATCAACACTGGCATGGGCTGCTGCGGGATTGCTTAGCACTCGAAGGGCGAAGGCAGGTTAGAATTGAATGAAGGACAGAATGACAGTGAGCAGGCCTACCACCCGCGCGATACGTGCATTTGAATCCATGGCTCGAATAGCAAGGGACGTTCTACCAGGTAGGAGGAGCTTATGATGCACGTTGGTAAAGGTGATTTGGCGAGTGAATCAGCTTCGCTCTCGCCTTTGTACCTCCACAAGAACTGCTGCTGCTTGCTATGTCGTGCTTGTTTTGCTCAAACATTCCAAGATTTTTGTTAGTGGGTTTGCACTAGGAGATTATTGCTGGTAGCAATACAGCCGACTTTTCAGTAATGCGCTCCGACGCTGAATACAAGCCGCGCACTTCAAGGTGGTCTCCTTTGTTCTGCTCTTTCGGAAAGAGTTTCAAACGAAATAACATTGTTTCGCGGACCTCCTTGAGAAACAATTTAGATGGTTGCGAAAGTATCGTGTTTTCATCACAGAGGGTTACAGCTCGTGAGTCATCTTGGCCCTCACTGGATTGTAGCAGTGATAATTGTTTAGGGCATGTCGAGGAAGCCGATATAGTCAGCTAGTTTTAGCGGAACGAGCAGGTTCTCGATGGAAATGTACTATATTCGACTCTCAAAATGGGTACAGCTTCAGGAAGAAAACCCTAGAAATGTGTTATTTTGTATATTCCAATACAGCCTTGGGTTGGACAAACAATCACCGAAGATCAAACAAATTCTCTGTACAGAATAATATCTGGATATTAGGCCTCTTTGTGTACTAGCTAGAAGAAACTAATAAAAAACATACATGATAACTTTGGAGATCTTTCATATAAAAGCGACCTAATCAGCAACTTTGAAAGTGCTTAGGTAAGGTTTGTGAAAAAAGCACCACAGTCATCTATTCCCCAACAGACACACCAAGTCCAAATTTACAGTATTTTTTTTCATGTGATCCATCAGGAAAGGCAAAACGAGATTGTTAGGTTCAGATACAAAACACGAAAGCGGGAATGGAAAGACATGCAAGGTTCATTAGAGGAAGCGATGCAGGCTCAAATACGCTCACGAGCACATGAATCGACTCACTATTGACATGCCTCTGCATAGAAAAGGAGATTGGCCCCAAGATAAAACCTCGCTTTCAGATAGGCCGCCACACACCTATTGATGTCAAGTCGCCCCCTCAGGCGACAGTGGTTGGTGGAAACGCAAGGGAGGTGGTTGGATGCTTCATACAAGATGGTACATAGCCTCTCGTGTCCAGGTGACATTGTTACGTGGAAACACGAAGGGAGCGGATGGGGAAAACCGAACTGCCCTTAATGAAGTAATTTATATTACGGTGGACTTATCCCAACTACCTTGTTCCTGTCACCTTGGTGACAAAGACTGCCACTCATTACAATAAACTCTTGCCAAAGCCACACAAACACATGATGCACAATGTATTTGCTACGCACCTCCCAGTACATTCTCATTCGCCGTTCCTAATGGGTACACACACCACAGCACCCCTGCTGCAAGTATAGTAATACGCACCTTGCTGTACACTCACCACTCATTACAATCACACACACGGCTATCTGTATAGTTACGTTTGGTTATCGCCACACACACATTCACACACACATTTGGCGCATGATATAGTCGTATCCCACACTCGTGGTCGACTCCTTGTTGTTTTAGTTGCGCGAGAAGTCAGCTGCTAGGGCCGCCTGGTGAGGATTAGCACGGGCAATGAGGTGCAATGGGGATATATGGATAGGTATGGAAGAAGGTGACTGTTGCTTGACTCAAAAGAACACTCGAGGCTGTCAGAATCTAGAGAACAGGAATGGATGCATTGATGAGAAAATGAGTACATGTACCTAATCCTAATTGAGCTGTGTTTAGAGCGTCACCCACTACAGCCTATAACCGCCACAAATATTTTTTTGACGGAGGCTGCCTCCATGCTATACACTCACAAGTCATTACAACGACACACAGTGTCAAACTATATGTTTATGTGATAATGATATGTAGGCTGTAGTGGGGTAGCCAATGTAGGGTATAGGGTTTGTTACTTGTACCCAACATTCTCGATAGTCAACAAACCGTTTCTTCCCTTTATTTTAAACATGGTATCAGAGCGAAGGTCTCGGGTTCGAATCCTAGTGTGTGCACTTCGGGCCTCCCAGTGCGGCGGGGGGGGGGGGGGTGTCAGAGGTCCACTGGAGATCCTTGATTGATCATAAGGAAGGGTTACAGGTACGTTGGCTTGGGGGGTTATGGGCGCACTGGCCCGCTACTTAACAAGCCCTTTTATCCCAATGGTATAGTGGTTGGGATTCTGACACACAGCTCCTTGAACACCCACTTCTGGTTACCGCCACACACCTGGTGCAGGATATAGCTGTACCCCATACCCGTGGCCGACTTCTTGTTGTTCCACTTGTGCAGGAAGTCAGCTGCTAGGGCCACCTGAGGGCACACAGAGGAAGAGGAGGGGGAAGGGAGAATATGAAGTGGGCAATAGATCGCTGTTGGCTTTGTTTAGAAAGTCGGCTGCTAGGGCCACTTGGTGAGGATCAACACGAACAACGAGGTGCACAGATGGATAGGTGTGGAGGATGCTCAAGGCTCAAAAGAACACTCGAGGTTGCCTCCTTGCTATTCCAGATGTGTAGGAAGCCACCTGCCAAGGTCACCTGGTGAAGATTGGCACGGGCAATGAGGTCGAAAGGGCAATGAGCATGGACGTCTGATAGATGAAGGAACATGCAAGGTGCAGAGTCAACCTGTGGACATAACTCAAGGTGCTTCTTGAGTTTATTCAAATGTCACCCAAGTCATACACCTTATCCTACTCAAATACCCTATCCAAGTCAAATACCTTATCCAACTCAAATACCTTGTCCAAGTGGAATTCCTTATCCAACTCAAATACCTGTTCCAGCTCATATACCTTATCCAACTCAAATACCTTATCCAGCTCAAATACCTTGTCCAAACTTGTATACCCTGTCAGAGGTCCACTGGTGATCCCCGATTGATCCTAGGGAAGGGTTACAGGCTCGTTGTCCTGGGGGGTTATGGGCGCACTGATCCGCTACTTAACAAGCCCTTTTATCCCAATGGTCTAGTGGTTGGGTTTCTAACATGGTATCGAGCAGGTTCCCGAGTGGGAATGCTGCCTAGGGCCCACCACGAATTTTTTCTTCCCTGCCCGGAGCGCGCTTCGCTCTTACCCGAGTAGCGCCTCGAGCCGCCCTTAGTGGCCACCTTTGGCCGCCCTTACGGCCCCTCGCGCCGCCTTCTACGGCCCCTCGCTACGGCCCCGTCTGGCCCCGCTACGGCCCCGTCTGGCCCCTTTACGGCCTCGTTTTGGCCCCTCTGCGGCCTCGTCGTCACCTGCAGCCTCGTCGCCACCTACGGCCCCGCCGCCACCTGCGGCCCCGCCGCCACCTGCGGCCCCGTAGCCACTTGCGGCCTCGCCGCCACCTGCGGCCTCGCCGCCCAGCGCCCGCACCGCCGAGCAGCCGAACCGACGAGCAGCTGAGCCGCCCGATCGCTGAGCCGCCCAGCAGCCGAGCCGCCCGACCGCCGAGCCGCCCAGCAGCCAAGCCGCCCGACCGCCGAGCCGCCCGACCGCCGAGCCGCCCAACAGCCGAGCCGCCTGACCACCGAGCCGCCGAGCAGCTGAGCCGCCCGACCGCCGAGCTGCCGAGCCGCCCGACCGCCCCACTTGCCTGGTAAGAGCATAGTCTCTGCCACAACACTGCCCTGCCCCACTGTACTCACTGCCTGTCTACTGCTGTTATGGCCTCCCCTAGCGTTCTCACCTTCGACGCTGAGGGTCGCGCAGTGGACTTTGAGGTCTGGGTAGATGATCTGCAGCTTTTCCTGCACTACGATAGGGCAGACGGCCTCTCGCTGTTTAACCTCACTTCTGGTGCCTCCCCTGCCCCTGCTGCTGATGCTGACGCCACTGTTCGCTCACAGTGGGCCACGCGCGATGCTGCTGCTCGCCTTGCTGTGCGCCACCACTTACCGACCACTGAGCGTGCACACTTTAGCCCGTACAAGAGTGCTCAGACCTTGTACGACGCTGTAGTTGCACGCTACTCTTCCCTTGCCACTGCTGCACTGAGCCGCCTCATGCTACCATACCTCTTCCCTGACCTTGCTGCCTTTCCCATAGTCGCTGACCTCATTACGCACCTTCGCACTAGTGACATTCGCTACCGCGCTGCACTTCCTGCTGAGTTCTGCGCCAAGAACCCCCCCCCCCCCCCCCCCCCCCCCATGTACACACCCTCGAACTTCACCCTTCAACTCGAACTCACCTAAGTTACTAAGGCTCCTAAGCCATTCTCCTTCTAGTATCTTAACATGGTATCAAAGCGAGGTTCAGGGTTTAGGGCAAGTTTAGGGCACCGTCGCATGCCACGGGGCACGCGACGGGCAGAGAAGATGTCACTCGCCACCCGGGGGCGGGAAAGGACGAAAACCGCCACGCGCCCTAGGCGCGCGACCGGAAAAACAGTAGCGGAAGCATAAGGCGGGCCCACAGGCCAGGATGAAACACGCTCTAATGCCATGTTAGAATCCGAGCTTAAGAGGTAGTTGAGAGTTAAGTGGGGCCTAGGCTTGGTAGCCTAGGCCAAGGGGAAGTCGAGTAGTTTGTGCCAAGGGAGAGTGTCGAGAGAATTGGGAATGGGTGTTTACTATAGCAAGAGAGTACATATAGCAAACAAGTGAAGAAAGAGGTGCACCACCTATAAAGTTCATATCTACACTACAGCTAGAACTACATGCAGGTATAAGAATATAATTCTGACATACCCTTTCCAACTTGAACACATTTCTCATCTCAAATACCTTATCCAATTCAGGTACCTTATCCATCTCATACCTTATCCATCTCATCATAACTTATCAAACACGTGTTGCACATAGGTCATGGACACGAGTCCTACCAACCAATACCATTTTTGACCACATCTAATGCTAACGCATGCATTAATACTCCCATACTTGATCAGAACCATACCTTATCTGATAAACGTTGCACATAGGTCACGGGCACCACTCATGTGCTCGCCAACTGTGCTTTTGCCACTTGACATTGATTGGAGCAACGCAGGGTGGCATCAATTGGAGCAATGAGGGGTGACATGGTATGGAACAATGTGGGATTGGCATAAGATGGAGCGATGCAGGATGGCATGATTTGTCAAGGAGATAGAGTAGTGGGGGAAGAGATGTTGCCATGCTGCACAGCTGATGCCTTAAGAATTCTCAAAAGTAAGCTCGCAACAACAACTCACCATTTATCGATGTTGTAGCAGCCTTCAGTGCCTAGCCCGGAGCATCGCTGGTGACCAAGCCAGAAGGCCGATATGACGCTCTTCATGGTGTTTACCCCGCAGAAGGTATTGCTGCCTGTCTGTGCCCGCCACTAGTAGTCAGATCCTTGCAGTGATGCTAGCCAAGGAGAGAGAGAGAGAGAGAGAGAGAGAGAGAGAGAGAGAGAGAGAGAGAGAGAGAGAGAGAGAGAGAGAGAGAGATCGAGAGAGAGAGAAAGTGTGTGTGTGTGAGAGAGAGAGAGAGAGAGAGAGAGAGAGAGAGAGAGAGAGAGAGAGTATGAGCACTTTGAAATCGCATGCCTAGGCTAACGTGCGTGCTAGGAAGTTCCAGGTGCTTTGCCTGTACCTATATACACATCAATAGAGGTCCTCTTGAGAGAGAGCGCTTTTCGAGCCATGCTCTTGTTGCGGCTTAGTCCGTAGAATGTGTTGTTGCCCGCCTGTGCCTGTCACTGGTAGTCTGACCCCTCATGGGAGAAACCCGGGTATGAGACAGTGTGCTTTGAGAGCGGATATACTACGGATGTAGATGTTTGCCTGTTCTTGGTGCAACCCTAGAAATGTTGGGAGAAAATATATGAGGGGCAAGGAGAGAGCATTTCGAGACATGCTCTGGTTGTTGTGGCTTAGTCCGTAGAATGCGTTGTTGCTTGCATGTGCCTACCTACCACTGGTAGTTTGATCCTTGCAGTGACGGTGGGGTAACCGATGTGGGAAGATGAAGGAACGGCTGGGAACATGGTGCGGATGTAATACACTTGGTAAGCTGTTGCCCGTCTGCACGAACGACTCCATAAGTGATGGCGGTTAAGCAAGGATTCAATATGGGAAACAACAAGTGTTGTGAGGTAATAACGCTTGTGTGGCCATTCAACAAGGCATTGGATGTACATTCAATCGTACATTGAGGGTTTTCACACGTGCATTCAATACACTCACTTGTACACTTAAGGCTTTTGCTGTTGATTTACGAGTGAATGTACATTCGGTGCTTTTGTTGTTGCCATATGAGTGAATGTACATTCAATGTACATCATTGTGGCCCACTTCCTCCTCCCACTCCTACTCCGATGGACCTATTTCTGTAGTGATGGAGGGGGGCGAGGAAGTGCGTTGAGTCACGCTACAAAGTGTTTGACACCCAAATGGTACCTTTGCACTCGCTCTCACCCTCCTCCCCACCCTCTCCAGCTCGCTCCCCTCACCGCTCGATGCGGCGCTCTTAGCGCTGCTCACGCTTCTCATCATTATGCGCTCGAGGATGCGCGAAGGGGCAGCACATAAGGGGGTGCTGGGGCGGAAGCGCAAGTCGCCGGAGGATGGGGGAGGAGGGGTTGGTGGTGATGCAAGCATTGCTGCTTCCGCCACCACCTGATTAGCGCACTGTCTTATCAACTCCTAAGCTAGAAGCGCTTCCGGGAATAACGTACTTGCCTTTTATGGAACATCTCGCGTAAGCTTGTAGGGGGGATAATGGACCTCTAAAAAAGGCTTGTAGAGGGGAAAAGGGAACAGACTCGGATGCATGTGGGTGCATTAGGGGGGTCGGAGCAAGGGAGACTTTAGTGGGGAGTGGAGGAAAAGTAGGGAATGGAAGGAAAGGAGGAGGGGAGGAGAAGGAGGAGAGGGTGGACCATGGCACTAAAGATGTGAGTGATATGCTTGGATGACTATCAAAGTGGGGACCGTCTGAGAGTGCTGCCCTGCGGTCATGGTGAGCTTGCCCTTTCCCAACCCATTGACTCAAAAATAGGGTTAAGCAAGGCACTAGAGACGTATACGATTTGTCAGGACCAATCGGGCGACCCTGCAGACCCTGTCTCAATTGGTGCAACCCTGTGGATATGGTGCTACCCTGTAGACATGGTGCGCTTGTCCCTCAGAGTTCCATGCGGAATGTGTGGACGAGTGGTTGACCACCAAGCAGCTTCCGTTGATTATTGATGAAAGACTTTGGAGTCCACTCGTTCCCCTCCTTCCCTTCTTCCCCTTTTCCTTTTGACTCCCTTGTTAGTTCCATGCAGAGTGTGTAGACGAGTGACGTGTGGCTTCTGAGACAAATCACCCCCCTCCATTCCATCCCCCCCTTCCCACCTATGTCCCCCAGAGTTCCATGCGGAGTGTGTGGACGAGTGGCTTCTAAGTCAACTCTCCCACCCCTTCTCGTCCCTCCTTTCGTTTGCTCCCCTCTGTCCCCCAGAGTTCCATGCATAGTGTGTAGACGTATGGATGTCCACGAAGCAACCCCTCTGCCCCATCGGCAAGGGTGACGCACACGCACCCTCCACCTCCCCTCCTCACATCTGCAGCAGCAGCACCACTGCTGGGACCAACATTGTCGCGCATCCCTCTATTTCCACACCTCCTTCGCTGGGCCAACTCCACTCCTCATCCCCCTCCCCCATTTCCTCAAGATTAGAGACCTCCTCTCCGTCCTCTCGTTCCTCCTCCCCTCGCACACAATCCCACCAATCCACCTCATCGTTGCTTCTCACCTCTTTGCTTCCGAACCTACCCTGGCTAAGGCACCCTGCCAGCTCCTGAGCCTCCTCATCTGCTCTGACCGTACCTAGCCCATCTGCTGCCAAGATTGGAGAAGGTGACATCCGACGGCCATTCCTCCTGTTTCCTGGCCCGGCTGCTTCTCCTTCCTCTCCCTCCCATATAGCTACAGACTCAGCACCCATGCATGCTGAGCTGCCACACCAAACGGATTTGATGAGCATTAGATGATGGTGCTGTGAAGAAATGAGGAATGAATAAACTAGCAAGCAGGAGGGTACAAGTAGGAAAACCTAAAAGTGTTGTACCCCATATTGTCTACCCCACTACAGCCTACACAGACTATAGCATATGAGTTTGACACACCCCCATAGGCAAAGTGGGGGAGAACAAGAGGTCACAAGACCAGTCAAGCAAAGCAAAGCAAGCTCAGGGTGGATCACAACGTCACCACACATTCCGAGCACAAGTTTAAGGCCACAAGGCCAGTTCACATGCAAGATCATATATAAAGGTAAACAAGAAAGTGCAGGTATAGAAAGATCACAGTACAAGCAAGGTCAAGAAGTGAGCAAGTGAGGCCAATTAGGCACAAGACCTAACATCGTACATAAGCGCAGATGATCACAAGGCGGAAGGGCCTTGGTAAAGATATCAGAAGTGTTGGCCTCAGAGGCCACGTAAGCAAGGCGCAGCTAACCACGCTGCTGCAGCTCACGAGCAAGGAAGTAACGAAGAGCAATGTGCTTCGTTCTGTGCTCCAGTCTGTGCTCCCGACACAAGGCCAGCATGGCCTTGTTGTCTACGTACAGAACAGGTGGAGAACGAGGCGGCTCTTTTAGGTCAGTCAGCACGTAGGTGAGCCAGTGTAGCTCCTGTGCAGCCATGGCCCCCGCGTAGATCTCATCCTCATAGCTGAAGCCGAGAACAGAAGAAGAGTGGGTTGACTGCCACGAAGCAGAGCCGGAACCAAGGCTAAAGGTGTAACCCTGTGACGACCGTTGCGTAGCCTGGTCATCAGCCCAAGAAGCGTTTGCATGACCTGTGAGGACCACTCGACGTCGCCCTCCAAGCACTAGCCCCATGCCCGACGTACTGCACAAGTAGCACAACACCCTCTTCGCTGCAGCCATGTGCTCTGGTCGGTGTCTCCCAGGAGCAACATAGCGTGCCAAGATGCTAAGAGGGTATGCTAGGTCAGGTCGTGTGTAGGTCATCAGGTACATGAGGCAGCCAACAAGCTCTGGGTACGGGCCACTCGGCTCTACGGACTCATTCAAAGGCAGAGCTGAGAGCGAGTGAAGAGTAGACAGAGGAGTGGCCTGAGGCGAGGAGTACGTGAAGTCGAAGCGCTGAAGGACCTGCTGCACCATGTGTGACTGAGTCAGGGTAATGGTGCGCTGTGCTCTGTCCCGGGTGATCTGCAAGCCAAGGTAGCTACGTAGTTCACCCAGGTCTGTGCACGTGTGTCTCTTCTGCAGCCCGGACTTCACGTGGGCGAGTCCAGCAGTGTCAGCAGTAGCAAAGACCAAGTCGTCGACGTACACGAGGAAGTAGAATGGCAGCAAAGAGGTGTCGGTGCGTAGAAACAGTGACGGGTAGGCAGTAGAAGGAGCAAACCCAAGAGCCGCAAGTGTAGTCCTCAGTGTGTCGTGCCACTCACGGGGCGCCTGGCGGAGACCAAAGACCGGCCGCCGGAGGCTCCACTGGGTTCCAGGAGGAAACGACCCAGTGAAGCCAGGTGAGCGGCGCAGCCAGATCTCCTCGTGTAGGCTGCCCTGTAGGAAAGCAGTGCTGAAGTCAAGAGAGTGAAGCTCGTAGTCGCGCTGAGCGGCTATGTGCAGCAGCATCCGAAGAGTGGTCATCTTCGGGGTGGGAGAGAAGGTATGAAAGTAGTCAACTCCCTGCCGCTGTTTGAAGCCTCGAGCCACGTAATGCGCCTTGAAGACAGGCGGAGAACCCGGCGGCCGCTTCACCCTGAAAATCCACATGCCACTGATGATGTTCGCCCCAGGTGGGGGAACCTCATCGACGTAGGTGCCTGTGGACTTCCAGGAAGCCATCTCTGCGTCCATGGCTGACTGCCACTGTGAGGAGTAGGGACCCTCGATCGCCTCAGCGTACGATCGGGAGTCAGGATGTCTGGTGCATCCGGGTCTCCCTCAGGGGCAATCAGCGTGGACACGAGATGAGGCAAAGCAGCAGCAAAACACTGGAACTCCTCTTGCCTGTCCTCAAGAACGTCTGTGCAAAAATCACACTCTCCCCCGACAAACGGAGGACACACAAACTCAGACTTAGCAACAAGACTAGTGGCGTAGTCTAGACGACAGCGAGCAGCAAAGTCGACAAGCTCAGCAACCAAGGCAGACGCCGCAGTGGACTCAAAGGAAGGGTCACTGACAACAGTAGCCAGGAGACGCGTGAGAGTAGGACCGGCAGCACGAAGAGCGTCAGACTCTGGGCAGTAAGGACAGGAAGAGAGGACTTTGGAGGAGACGGCAACGAGACTCGCAGAGGTGCAGTGGAATGACGCAGTGCCATCCGGTGTGTGCCCGGGACGGCAGGAGGACGCGGACCCGGAGCACGAGTACTAGTGCGAGCAGCACGAACAGGCGACGCAGGACGAGACGCAGGCTCACAACGCTCAACAAGACCTCCAGTAGGACAAGTGTAGGGAGAAGGAGCAGGCACTGGGGAGGCGGGCTGTAACAGTGACTCAGACCGGACAGGCGGTGGACACTCTAAGGAAAGAGCAGGACCAGTAGAGGGCAAGAGACCAAGAACATGCACAAGTAGCGG